TCATCTGGTGAATTACTTCATGTTGGTAGAGGCAGAAGAAATAGCAGAGGTAGTGGGAGCAAGAACAGACAAAGGAGTCAGTCGAAGACTCGTGACAGCTCAGGTGTAACGTGCTGGAAATGCAAGGAGGTAGGGCATTTTAGGAATCAATGTCCGAATGATAAGAAAGTAAACATTGCTCAAGGCTCTGCGAGTGACGAGGAGGTCGCTCTGACTTGCTGTGAGGAAAGCAATGTGGATTCCTGGGTCATGGATTCTTCAGCGATGAAGCATTGCAGAATCTAGTTTTTGGAGACTTTGGAAAGGTACGACTAGCGGACGACAGAGCTCTTGATGTGACGGGCATGGGTGACATGGTGTTGAAGACCTCAGTCGGTCTATGGACTTTGAAGGATGTCAGAGTGGTTCCAGCCTTGAAGAAAAGTTTGATTTCTGTCAGGCAGTTGGACGAACAGGGACACGAGGTGAAGTTCAGAGATGGGCAGTGGAAGGTCGTGAAGGGAAATCTTGTCATAGCCCGCGGAAGAAAGAGTGGTTCGCTGTATATGGTCGAGTTACCATCTGAGGGAGTGACCGTCCCAGTTCAGAAGAAAAACAAAGTCCGGTTCACAGAGTCTCGTGGGCAGAATAAGGTTGTCTGTGCAAGAGAGAAACTTAGAGCCACTGGTCAGACTCAGGATGAACGAGCGTGGAAAGGTTCAAGGAGGCCAGTTAGAGGTATTTGTGGCAGTGGGAGCTCAAGAGGCGCTTCAACCAAGTTGCCTAGAAGACAGTGGGTCAGGAGAACCAGTATTCCAGCTGTTGGAACATCTCCAGAAAATTTCTTGCTGAGTATGGAGAGTGTTTGTTCTCAAGATGTTCCAGGATCCGGCAATGTGCGTCTGCAGTGGGAGCCGGTAGGGACCGAGGACGAGTCAGGGGCAGATTTTGCCGTGACTGATGTGTTGGAGCTTGGGAGAGCTTCAATGGGCCTTTCAGTTTGTCTGATGTTAGGGCCGCTGCAATAGGAGAGCTGAGGAAGATTACTCGATGTACAGGGAAGCGTGGTGGATGGCAGTTGATGGCTATCAAGCCTCCAAGTGGGAGAATGTTGGGTTTGTGGAGGCTTGGGCTTGACTTTTGGCCCGGCCCATTTTACGAAACCCTAGATGCACTCTTCCTATATATATATATTGCATTCTTGTACTTGTAATCTACACCACAAGTGAAATAAGAAAATCCTCCCGTTGCAGCCGTGGATTAGGGAAACCGAACCACGTTAAATTCTTGTGTGTCGTTTGTGTTCCGTTTCTCTCTTGATTCTCACAGATATTTGTGTGTGTTGCGTGTTTAATCCCCAACACCAGGAATCCACATTGCTTTCCTCACAGCAAGTCAGAGCGACCTCCTCGTCACTCGCAGAGCCTTGAGCAATGTTTACTTTCTTATCATTCGGACATTGATTCCTAAAATGCCCTACCTCCTTGCATTTCCAGCACGTTACACCTGAGCTGTCACGAGTCTTCGACTGACTCCTTTGTCTGTTCTTGCTCCCACTACCTCTGTTATTTCTTCTACCTCTACCAACATGAAGCAATTCACCAGATGACTCCCCTGAATTCTTTCTTCTGACATCCTCGCCAAGAACGAGATCTCGAATCTGATCAAAGGTGAATCCATCGGGTCCCACTGAACCGGTAACTGCTGTAACCGTTCCGGACCAACTATCAGGTAAAGACGATAGCAGTAGCAAAGCTTGAACTTCATCATCGAACTTAATGCCCACTGACGCAAGTCTGACTAAGATCGAATTCAACTTGTTGATATGCTCGGTAACTAAAGTGCCTTCTCTCATCCTTGTGTTCACCAGCTCTCTAATCAGAAAAACTTTATTCGCTGCAGATGGCTTCTCGTACATGTTAGACAACGCGTCCATAATTCCCTATGCTGTCTTCTCCTTCAGAATGTTGAACGCAACATTCTTGGTCAACGAGAGACGGATCACGGACATAGCTTTCCGATCTAAACATGCCCAATCTGCATCCGACATCTTTTCTGGCTTGTCACCCAATACCATGTCTAAATCTTTCTGAACCAGCAAATCTTCAATTTGCATTCTCCACCAACTGAAATCTGTACCATCGAACTTCTCAATTCGGAACTTCCTGTCTTCTGTCATCTCAAACGACTGGACGAGATACCCGGTACAAAAATTTCAGATCTTGGTAATTTTGTCAGAAAATCAGGAACAAGACCACTTCTCACCAATTCCAAATCAAACAGGCCCAAACCTCTCCAAATAAAGCCCAATCAAACAAAAAAAAACAAGAAAAGAGAAAGGATGGGGGCTGACCAAATGAAACTCAATTTGGCCCACTGCCCGGGCCCACCACTCTTTTTCTTATTTTTCCAAGTGGGCTGCCGTTCCCCTTTTTTCTGTCCTGGTGTTGTGCGCCACAGCGGCAGGTGCAAGACGGATCTCCACGAACAACTTCGACGGCGGCGGCGGCTTGGCCAATGAAACGGCGCGGCGGTCTCTTCTCTAGGCGTGGCTAGCGGCGGCAGGTCTATCAGAGTCACTCTCCCTCAGCGGCTCAGACCTTCGCGCTGCTATCGGCGGCGGCGATCCGGAAGGTGGGTCCTGGGCGGCGCGGCCTGCTGCTCGCGACGTCCTACCCAGCGACTGCGGCGGTCGGCGGGAGGCCAAGGCTGCGCGACGGCGGCACCGAGGCAACCCCAAGGCTGCAGCTCTCTCCCCTGCTGCGCGACCCTCACAGCGGCGACAACTGAGGACGGCGACGGCCCTGGATCTGCTATCGATGGCGGCGGCGGTTCCCCAATGTGGCGGCAAAACTGCTCCCGGATGGCGATTGACGGCTGAGATTTCCGGCAAATCTGTGCGCGGGTCACTCAGCGGCTGCTCCTCAATTGAACGGCCACACACCCCCGATTTGGATCCACACGGTTCTTCACACAAGAACCCTAGGTGACAAATCTTCTCGTAATTTGTGCTCGTGTTGAATAACCTTGCTCCGATACCACTTGTAGGGAATTAAACACGCAACACACACAAATAATCTACGAGAAACGAGAGAAACGAAACACAAACGACACACAAGAATTTAACGTGGTTCGGTTTCCCTAATCCACGGCTGCAAGAGGAGGATTTTCTTATTTCACTTGTGGTGCCGATTACAAGTACAAGCCCTCTATATATATAAAAAAAACTAGGGCTAAGCCCAACTGGGCCGGGCCGACAAACAAGCCTCCACAAAGCCCAACATTCGGCGAACTAGAATTCATTTGAAATTTCATATTTCAATTCCGGAATTTAGATTGAAGAAAAGTTGAGTTTGAATATGTAAATGACATGAAGAGAGGTGTGGATTTGAAATGAGATTGATTTTGAATGAGAAAAAGTTGGTCCAAATCCAAATTCTTTGAGTTTCCAAACAAATAATTTGGATCAACTGTAGATTTAATATCCAAATTCAAGTTTCTAAACGCACCATAATGAAGATAAATTCGCTCTTATTTGAGAGTGATTTTAAATTGAATAACTACACTATTGTTACAAATTCATTTTAAATTTTGTAATATTAATACTTTTAAAGAATTCTTTAGCTAAATTAAACTTTATACGGAGTAGTAAAATGCTGTATGACCAATCAGATGTGTTTAATTAAAACACATATCTAAACTTACTTTGATGCAAAAGTTTAATTTGGTTCTATTGCTAGTCATTTAGGAGCAAAGAATGAGCATCAAACCCTTATAATATGCTTACGATTTTCCTTTCATTGGCCAAAGATTTTTATTAAAAATTACTAGTATTAATTTAGAAATTCTTAAAATAAGTTTGTAATAATGTATTATTTGATTAAACATCAAATAATATTTTATGGAGTTTGACCTTATGAGTTATGAGTAAGTATATTTTGAATAAAAAGAAGAAATTAATCTTGTATGGATCGGAGTATTTAATAAATAAAAGATAAGAATGAAAGAACCAAAATAATTTTAAGACTAACAATGAGATTTATAACTTTTCTTGGTCAAAATTTATAAACTTTGACATCTACTTATGGTAAAACTACACTTTTTTGATATAAATGTAATACGGAGTATTAACAATTTCCATTTGAAACATAATTTTGAAATATTAACTTTTTATAAATTATATCTATGTATAGATTCTAACATCAATGGTCAAAGTATTACATTGTATACCGTGAAAAACCAAATGAGAATATTAAATTCGGAGTGAGCATTTAAATTGGGAAGGATTGTTTGTAAAAATAATAATTTTACAAAGTTTTATTAAAAAAATTAAAAGGACAAAGAAAATTTGATAATTTTAGAAGAACCAAAAACATACTTAAGAGATAACTTAGTTAACTAAATATTTGACTCTAAAATCAAACTAAATTTGGAAGTAGAATTAATTGCATGTGGTGGAATGTCAATGTTATTTGAAACTTGCCCGGGAAAGAACCTTAGGACCCTCAAGAGAGGTTTCACGCCGACGTACTCCCGGACCAACCATATCCAACTTTGTCTTTATATAAAGCTTGAGTGACACCATGATTCTCAAAGTCTATCCAATTAGAGCAATGCTACCCCAAATCCCAAATGTACACCACCCCTTTTCTACCACACATTTTTATTTGATTTTTATTTACTTATTTTTTAAATTTTTTTTATCTTTTTTAGTGAACAAGGAGAGGGTGAGGGACATATGAGGTACACCTTTGGTGTACCCCTAGCATTTTTCATCCAATTAACTTACTTGGCTGGTATCCATCGTGGCAAAAATATCCCCTACTCTGTTCCGTTCTATGTACACATAAAAAATACGGAGTAGTAACATCACAATCCTTCCTTACCAACTACTACCTCCCTCCCAAAAAGAGTTTCTTACTTTGATTAACGTGCAAAATCCCGTGAATTTAAAAATGATTTTAATTATTTGCAAATCGGTAAAGAAATAACACATGAAAAAATTATATTTAAAAAATACATCAAAAACTCTACAAAATAAGAGGTGACAAGAATATTTTATTTTATCAAATGATCAATGAAAACACGCAAACAAACAAGAGTTATCGAAAGGCCGTAATAATAAACAGGAAAGACTTTTTGAGACGGAGTAAGTATGACATGCATCAACGATATTATGTAGTGGTCTGTCCATTTGACAATCTCTTGGGAGTCACTCTCAACAATAAGTTTCCGTAGGTCTTTACTCTATGTCCATATTTGGCACAAAAGACTAATGTAATTTTTTTATGGGTGGGATTCTAGTGACACCGGAAAACAGTGCTACTGTATTTTTGGGACACTTCCGGTACTCTGTTCGTAAAATTGACGATTCCTATCCCACCTAACACACCCCCTAAACCCCCCGTCGTAAGCCCCACCCACAAAATGTGTGGCTATAATGCATAATAGCCACACATTTTGTGGGGGACTTACGGCGGGGTTGGGGGTAGGGTGGAGGGTTTAGATGGTGGATTAGGGGTAGAAACCATAAATTTTACGAACGGAGCACTAGAAGTGCCCAAAACGCAGTGGCACCGGAGTAGCACTGTTCTCCGGTGGCACTAGAACCGGACCGTTTTTCTATTGCACTAACATTTTATGCAAATGTATGCCAGCAACGTGACAATGCAATTATGTTGTGTACAAAATGGAGTAAACATTTAGGATATAGAAGTAGTATTATTTTATAGTAGACCTAGTTCAAATGGACATTCTCATATATTTTTTTAGGGAGATGCATGCTAGGGGTACACCATTAAATCTCTCCCACCCCCTTCATAACCATTCATTTTTATTTAGTTACTCCCTCCGTCTCTAAATATTTGTCACATTTGTATTTCCGAGGTAAAATATCAAGTTTTTTCAATTCATTTTATTTACAAATTGGTATAGAAATAAAAAATAAAATTTACATATCAAAAAATTACATGAAAAGTTCTTCGAAATAAAAGGTGTCAAGAATATTTTATTTTATCAAATAACCAATGAAAACGTAGAAATAAACAAAAGTTCCCGCGACGCTGAAAAAGCAAACATTGCAAATATTTAGGGACGGGGGAGTATTTTTTTGAATTTTTTTGCCTATTTTTAATACCCCTAAAAGGTGTACCCCTAGCATTTTCCATTTTTTTAATTTTAAAAATATTTATTTCTATATTTAAATATTTTCATCTAATACGGAGTAAGAAATATGTATAAAAATTTATACTCCCTCCGTCCCTAAATAAACTCTCTCTTTCGTTTTTTCTTTGTTCCAAATAAACTTCTCTTTTCCCTTAAAAAACCTTTTTTACCCCTTATTTTTTCATACCCTACCTATCACATCATACCTTTTTACTAATAATCTACATATCACATCTTACTTTTACACATTACATCAAGGGTATTTTTGGATAGTCAATACAAAAAGGGAGAAAGACCAAACTAGGACTAAAATATTGAAAATATACCAAAATAGGACTTCCATGTTTTTATTCCCGAAATAGGATTTACATTACCAAACATGGTCATATACATTACCAAAAATGTATAGTAATTTGCACATGTATACTGCCACATTACCACAATGCAAAGTCACATTACCACAGTACAAAGTCCTATTTCGGGAAAAAAACATGAAAGTCCTATTTTGGTACTTTTCTTTATGTTTTAGTCCTATTTAGTATGATTTCTAATACAAAAATTTCCTTCCTTTAAATTCTCAAAAAGTCAAAAATGAAAGTTTATTTAGGGACGGGGAGTAGAACTTAGGTAGATGTAATAATTTATTATCTAAGTAAGCATGGTTGATACTTGATATTAAGTTAAGCAAACAACCTATCAGTCAGTATCAGAGCCTTATCTTCGATATCGTATTTTCCTGCGTCTCTTCTGCAAAAATTCATTTTACAAGAATGTTAAACTCTTCCCCGTTAGTGGCAACCGCAGCCGTAGCCTCCGCAGCCACTTCATCATTGTCGCCTTCTCTTCCTCCGTACACCAAGAATCTTCCATTATGCCACCGCCGATTTTCTCTCCGTACACCCTTTCACTTCCTCCTCAGATCAAAGCCCATTAAGCACCCGAAACTCAACACCCATTTCTCCGTTATCCGCGCCGTTACTCGCCCCGCAGTCTTCCTTGAAGATGCCCAATTTGCAGAAGCAGACCATGAAGAAGAAGAAGAAGAAGTCGAAGAAGATGAGGAAGAAGAAAAAAATGAAGGCTTTGGATCTCAATCAGATGGATCTGGGAAATTATATGTGGGGAATTTGCCTTTCGCGTTAACCCCTCCTGAGTTGTCTGAAATCTTCTCGGAAGCTGGCGATGTTAAAAATGTTGAGGTCTGTGTTTGAACTCCCATTTCTTGAATTTCATGAAAAGTAAAAGTGAATTTTTTTGTAATATACATTGCAAGGTTCTTAATAGTTTAAGAAAAGTGGAGTAAATGCAAATGATTTTTGGAATTCTTGTGCTTATTGTTTAGTTAAATGTATAGGGGAAAAAGACTAAAGTAGGAACAAAACATTGAAAATATACCAAAATGCACATGTATAGTGCCCCATTACCACAGTGCCAACTCCTTTTTAGGGAATAAAAACATAGAACTCCTATTTTGGTACTTTTACTATGTTTTAATCCAATTTAGGGTGATTTCTTAATACCATAGTTGGTTAGGAAAATTAGGTAAAGATTATCTTTTCTTGGTTTGCTATTGTTCTGAGAGGCGGTCATTGACAAGGAGCTAAAAGAGTCCCTATTTCACAATGTTTTAGCTTTTGGTAAATAATGGAATGAATCAAAATGGCACATTAAGCATTAATGATGCATTAAGGATCTAAACGAAGACTCTTAAACCATATGGAGCTTGGATTATACTAAATATTGGTGTTGTATTCTTATGTGTTATTGGGAATAATGTGATATTGAGTAGATAATTACTCCGTATTTATTTGATCTTTTCTAAAACACATTTACAGATTATATACGATAAAGTTACTCGTAGAAGTCGGGGATTTGCATTTGTCACCATGGGAAGTGTTGAAGAAGCAAATAAGGCCATCCGGATGTTCAATGAGTCTGTAAGTGATAGTACTTCATATTAAACAAATGTTTGACTGCCACCGGTATCATTATTATCTTCTTATCCTTCATCAGATTTTTTTCTTTTTGATGTATTTTTCCTGTGCATATTAGAATGTGTATGTCTCCCGAAACCATTAACCTTGAAAATCAAGGGTTAGCCCATCCAATCATCTAGCCAAGCTACCGAAGGTGTGTATGCAACTATGTCGTGTCTTTGAAGGTTGGGTAATGCGACAAATATACTAACATTGACACTGAGAACCTACTGAAACACATGAGAACAAATGCAATCATGTGAACAAAAAATGAGGTTGATGTGAAAAAAAAGATATGTTGGCTGAAACAGATTTGTTTAAATAGTAATGGAAACAAGGAAAACTCCTGCGTTTTCTTCTATGTTCAATGCTCAAAAGCAAACTGCATATATACACAACTACAAAAAAAATTAAACTAAAAGAAAAAAAATACCACTTGTGTAAGGCAATCTCATGGAGCTCGCTCCCTGAGATCAATCACCTTTTCTGCTGATAGCTAACCCTTTGATAGGGTCTCTTGCATTGTTATCTATATAAACTCTTCAAAATTTGTGGTTTGTGTCTTTGCGATCACTTCATTACTATTTGATTCTTAACAATTTTGATGCTACTTGGTTTCCTGTTATGGTAACTGGCCACTAGGAAGGTTTCTTTGAACCTTCTCATGGTGTCAAGCAGGGAGAGCCCTTACCCCCATCACCCCCTTCCTCATTATTGCTGAGACTGACAACAAATCTTAACCATATTTGTAAGTCTGGTAGAGCTATTCTATATAATGCCTCACTTTGTTTGTCCATTATTTCTCACTTTTCTTACAAGGATGTTCTTATCATTATCTCTAATGGTTCTCAAAGTATTCTGAAGATTTTGTTTCAAACCCAAATACTTCATAGATGAAATTAGCAAGAAGAAAGGTTTTTATTTCTCAACCCCATTATTATGCTTTCGGCTAACATCTTGGCTGTGAAATGTCTAGCCCACCTTGGTTGCATGTCTAACATTTCCATGGACATATTCATCTGAAGTCTGAACCTTCCCACCAAACTTAAGGGCATTATTCAATACGACGCCCTATGTTTAACATAGAGTGCACTTTTAATTTGTTCTGCTGGTTTTTTTGCCCTTGTCTTTGATTTATGTCATTTTGCACATCCGGAGTCTCACCATAGGGTTTCTTCTTTTAGACACAAAAGAAGACTGATAGAGTACCCACTATGAAGTCACGTGAGAGACTTTAACTGGTTTTGTTTATGTTATTAATACTTTAGTAGAGTCGGTGAGGATCATTTGTTTATTGGGTCAAATGTTTTATTTCAAATTTATTTAGGTACTATGTAGTAAGTAATGTGCAAGGGGCCCTAAATTCTAAGGACAGTTACTAAGTAAATGGCCATCGCTTGAAACAGCTAGTTGGGGGCAGAACAGTGAAGGTTAACTTCCCTGAGGTGCCAAAAGGAGGAGAAAGGGAAGTGATGATGGCCTCGCGGTCTAGGAACATTCACAAGTTGTACGCAATGAACCTCGCCTGGAGCCTCACAAGTCAAGGCCTAAGACAAGCTTTTGCTGGGCAACCAGGATTCTTGAATGCAAATGTCGTATTCGACAGGGACTCTGGAAAACCTCTCGGTTATGGCTTTGTTAGCTTTGCTTCTGCTGAAGAAATGGAAGCTGCCCTTAACGCCATGAATGGAGTGGTAATATAAATCTTTCAAATTTCAAGTGAATTATTCTGTTTTACTCCCTCCTTCCTCAACTAATTTGTGTCGCCTGAAAAGAAAAGATGATATTTTTCATCATTTTTTTAAATGCCCAACAAGTCTCTTTTCTTGGGACGAATGTAGTAATAACTTTTAAGTACGCCGCTATGGGTTGAAATCATGGTTTTTCGTTCACATTTTAGGAGGTGCAAGGCCGGCCATTGCGGTTGGAATTTGTCAAGGGGAGAAGACCTCTTAGTCCATCTGCGGTCGAGACGGATAGGTAAGAGTTATTTCCTTGTTCATAGGAGGACTATTGCATAGTTGTATCAATCCTTCGCTTGCTTAGTCCAGCTCCTAAATGTACTACTAGTGAATTGTACAAACTTATGGACTCTTTGTAAGGGTTATTCCATTGAAAAGGCTTCTATGTGCTGCTTTCTTGTTGAACTTTGCCGGTGATTCTGTTTTTTCTGTGCTTATAAGTAATTTTTAACTTACAAGTCTTTTGAGAATGAACGTGTCTCCGGGCTTATATACTGACTTTTAAGTTGCTTATAAGTAAAAAAATAGCTACTCTTAACTTATTCTTAAGTTCATTTTTTTGGATCTTTATCTTAGCCCACTCATTTATTCCCTACAAAACTATTCCTACCCTTTTATAATTATCCCCAAATTATGCATTTTTCATTTCAAAAATCCACATTGTTTCACCAAAAAATATGCGATTATACATAAATTGTTAGAGTGTCATTCCACATCGAAAATTTAAGTTGAACGAATTGATTGATTGGATTCAATGTTTTATTGTGGTTCAGTCCAAGTGTCTTATTGTTAAATCCAGTTATCACGTCCCATCCTAAATTTATCATGATATCAGAGGATGTTTTGGCCCACTTTGTTTGTCAAGGTATCCGTTTAGATGCTCATTCCTAGCGACTCGTTAGTCTTTAGCCTAGTTGTCTGTATGAAATATGTACTTAACGGCATGTGGCCCGTTTAACACAATTGCTCGTCTGGAAGTCCATACCTAGCGGTTCGTGGTCCTTTAGGTGTTGGCGCTAAAAAAATCAAGAGGAAGAGAGTCCATTTACATGTGGTCAACCAGTTAGATTTAAAATGGCCCGGTTGTCTAATTGAGGGGGGCATGTTAGAGTATCATCTCACATCGAAAGCTCAAGAGTAAAATAATCGATATATAAGCTCTTGAGTTGAACTAACTAATTAATTGGATTCATTCTTTTAATGTGGTTCAATCAAGTATTTTATTGCCCAATTCAATTATCCACACTCAATCCTAAATTTATCATAAATACTTCGAGATTCAATAAATGATAACAATGCTCCAAGAATTTTCACATGTTTATATTGGAGCTCCAAGAATATATATATATATATATATATATATATATATATATATATATATATATATATATATATATATATATATATATGTAAATCAGTGCTCTACGTGTTGGGGCACTTGTGTAAACATAAATCATTTTTGGAGCATAAACGTAAATATATAAAATTTTAGGAGTATCGGTGTCATTTATTTACTCACAGAATATTTATGCAAAATCATGTAATTCTAAGAGGAACAATGTGAAAATTTCCTTTCTCCTCTAAGTCATTTACAAAAAGATACAGAGTAACTCCCTAAGTGGTTTACTACTCCAGAGTCAAAACAACGGTATAAATAAGATGAAAAAAATACCACCTTAAAAATGTAAACTCCCTCTGTTTCTCAAAATATTGTCTTTCATTTTTTCTATTTCCCTAAAATACTTTTACTTATATTAAAAACACACGTTTACCCCTATTTTTTCTTACTCTACCTATTATATCATATTTTTTCACTAATAATATATCCATCATATCGAGAGCAAAATTGGAAAGTCAACTTTAAATAACCCTTCTTTACTCTTGCCAAAAGTCAATATAAGAAGTGTTTATTGAGACGGAGGGAGTACTTTTGATATACAGAATAGTAATTTTCTAATTTTGTCCTTGTTATATATTTTCATGTAATTGGAATAACTATTTGACTAATGATATTATAATAATTGTCAAAGAAGTTTGTTGGTGCGGAGTTCACGCTTCGTTAAGTTTGTTATGATAAAAGTCCAATTTTAAGCGTTTTTTCTAACGTTTCGCGCGACTAGACGCGAATTTAGAAAAAGACTCGACCGCATCTCAATCCTTTCTTCCACGTCTATAAGATTCCGAAAAAGTTCTTGGTCTATGGTAGAGTTCGAAAATTCATAATCCACTTATACATGTTTTCTAAAAAAAATTGAGTTTTATCAGATTTATTTTTGGATTGAACACCCAAAATAATCAGTCTGAAACAACTCTCAAACAAATCCGTGTTATCTTCTATTTTCCTCAAGAGTCCTTACTTTAGAATAAGGTAGAAAATAGTGTGTAGGATAGATAAATAATAATTAAATAATAATAATATCAAAATTACCATTTGCACACCATCCAATGCACTTCTTTAATCCATTTTATGTTGTAATTTGTATATTAAAAAATTATAAAAATTATATATTAATAATCTATATGTTAAGACAAATCAAACAAGATCACACATGACTATATTTAGGCTTACACATTGAGAGAATTTGATGAGTCAAAGTGCTTTGATAAACAGTTCCAAAAGTCAAATGTGGACAAATACAGGGGGGCGGAGGGAGTACAATTTAACACTTCCTTATTTTTACACAAAGTCAAAATAAGAACACTTTTATAGAACGGAGGGAGTACTTTTTAGCAGGGCCGGCCCATGACCTGTGCTTGTGCAATTGCACAGGGCCCAATAAATTTGAGGGCCCAATTTTTTTGGATAGTAACACACCCTAGTGACCCCTAGTACCATCAATCTTCCATACTTTCTTTTTTTTTTAATTTTCTCTTCCGATTTCTTCTTTAAATCCTTATTTACTATGTACATTGTTTAGTCTATTATCATTTTGTTTAGTTGCTATTTTTTAGCCCATTAAAAAACAAAACCATAAATTATTTATTAATTACATTACGAAGTAGAAATCAATAAAAAAATAATTTTTCAATTTAACTATTTTTCAAAGAATTAATCATTAACTTAATCTATGTAGAATCAAAAGATATAAAGAAACGTTCAAAAAAATATATAAAGAAATATTTTTATGTAAACTTTTACTCCATAATCAGAGTTTTTTTATTTTACATTTTCATTGTAAAAAGTACTCTATATATAATTAATATTTATTTCATATAAGATTATTCATATAGTTCAAGTTTTTTTAAATAGTCAAATTAGGCAAATTTTAATCATCATTAATATAAATATTGTACTTCATATTGAATATAAGTATGAACGCAAGTTATTAGATTTATCTTGTGTCAAATTTTTAAAAATTTATTTTCATTGTATTAGTATGTCTTACAAATTTAATATAATTTGTTTAATTTATTTCGAAAAGGTTCTGATGAACAAATAGTCTCAAGAATTTAAAATTTACAAATATGAAGTCACAAGGAGCCATAAGTTTTAATTTGCACAGGGCCTTCGTTTACTTCAGACGGGCCATGCTTCTTAGTCTTATATGGAGTAAATTTTTCTTATCAAATATTAATAAAAATAAGTAAAGATCTAATTTGAGTGCCACAAAAATTTTGATAACTAAATTTGAAGAGAGAGTAATGTCTTTGTTGGAGAATAGTGTTTGTGACTAAGACTATCATTTAGGATAATTTTTAATGTTTCAAATTAACATAGAAAACATTAACATAATAAATATTTTCGTTAGATAATATTTTGAAAACGCTAAAGTTAATTCCAAATATAGCCAATCTTTGGTCAATGAGGTATTAGTTATAATATATACACCTGTGTGCACAATGATGGCTCAAAGTGTATACCTCTAAAAAAGTTTTCTTCTTCTTGACGTCCTTAATAACTTAATTAATCATTCAAAATACCACGCATACTCATTTTCTAGGGAAAATAATAAATTTTTTTTGTTGAAAACAAAGAACTATTTTAATTTCAAGAAAAAAAATTGTAGAATTTATATTAGGGACAATTTTTGTTGACCGTACTACATACTTTTAGACTTCAAAACAACCGGTTAGATCAAAAATTAAACATGGAACCTTATTTCAAGGAGTCGGGAAAGGAAGCATATGTTAAACATTGATAATTGATTTAACCTCTCTCCTAATTAATAAGTCAAATTCAAAATTTAAAACTATTTCATTTAAAAATTTGTACCGGGCATCATATATGATAATTGTGGATGTAGACCCCATTATTATGGCTAATCGTTCAAAGATTCTATCATATCACAATTGACTATGCCACATGTTTGACCATTCCCTAATCCCTCCCATATTGACTTTGAGATGCAATAATGAATAATGAATGTCAAATAATTACACATTATTTCATACAGTAATATCTAGAGACTAGTGCTTATTGCCCAACTTTAATTTGTTACCCTACAAGACTCCATACCTTATCTTCCAACAAATGAACGTGCATGCAATTTCTAATATTTTATGAGATGGGTAGAGTACACACACATACACACACACACATATGTGAGTTCTGGTATTGTATATCTAGGTGTATTATATTTTCTGAAAATATATATCTGTACAAATACTCATTTAACAATAATGTAATATTTGTTTTGTATATTTATTTATTTTGCGGAGTAGTATTATTTTTTCTAGACATGTAAATGTTTGTCATTACGGGATATTATTCCTTGTTCTGCATGGACATTATTAAGTGATATTTAGAGAATAAAACTGTTTAAGTGCTATTTTGGGAAATGATTTAAGTTTTAGTGCTATTTAGTGCAAACATTTCTATATTTAATACTCATTTCATAAATTAATTTACGTATGCTTATTCGACGTGATTATATGAAATGAGTATTTTATTATTGTTCAAAGAAAAATATATATCTGTACAAATACTCATTTAACAATAATGTAATATTNATCCTAATTATCTATGTTTTCTACCCTGACGGTTCAAAAAAAGCGACGAGGTAAAGAACCGTAAAGAAACCCTCGAAGGAGCTTATAATTCGCTCACCTAGAAAAATCTACGTACAAGTAAATAAATAAATAATAATACTAAAGAGGATAATTTAAATGGAGCCCATGTCATACACATGTTGCCAACTCGGCGGACGTCGAACCCGATTACTTCGACGGGTCCCCGAGTCTTGCACGTGGTGAACCTCCCGCTCCGAATCCGTATCACTCCTCCCTTCTTCGACAAGCACCTTGTCCTCAAGGTGGAGATGTGGAAAACGTTCCCGAATCATCCCTAGCGGCTCCCAAGTAGCATCATCCAGCGTACCATCACTCCAGGATATCAAACCTTGTTCAACGGGCACACCATGCTGTAAAACTCGGCGTACCGCATGCAATCTGACCGGCTGGGAAGGCGTCCTCCCGTCAACCAAATCGTCCAGCGTTTAGGGGTGGCGTGCGTGAACATGCGCAAGTACTGCTCCAAGGTACGATTCATCACCTCCGTTCGGCCGTCCGTTTGAGGATGATAGGAGGTGCTGTGCTTGAGGGTGGTGCCACTGAGGTTGTGCAGTTCCTTCCAAAAAGTGCTAATGAAGATTTTGTCTCGATCCGACACAATTGAACGGGGCAAACCATGGAGTTTAATGACCATATCAGTGAACAAGAAGGTTGTCCGGTGAGCATCGTAACCCGCGGGAAGCGCTCCAAAATGGGCAAACTTAGTGAGGCGATCCACTACTACCAAGATAACCGTATACCCTCGGGATGGCGGCAAACCCGTAATGAAATCCATACTCAAGTCTTCCCAAACCTGCTGGGGAACCGGCAAGGGTTGGAGTAACCCGGCAGGGGCCTGTGTCGATGTTTTTGCTTTTTGACACACCTCGCATTTGGCAATATAAGCTCGAACATCCGCCCGCATCCGAGGCCAATAAAAAGATGTCGCTAGTCGGTAGAAAGTTCGATGAACTCCTGCGTGCCCGGCAATCGGCGAGTCATGGTACTCGCGTAGCAATTCCTCACGAAGCCTGGAGTCTGCCCCAATGCACAAACGGGTATTATAGAAGACGAGGCCGTCGGCCACGACGTAGGGAGCCGGCAGCACCCCGTGGCGGTACTGATCGTGAAGCGCGCGTAGATCTGGTTGGCTTCCGTTTTCGGCACGGATGCGCTCCATGATAGATGTTAACGGCTGGGAAAGGGCCATGAAATCGGCCGTGGCAGTGGCAGGGATGTCGTCCTGGTCCCGTCGGGATAAGGCATCAGCTACGGTATTTGAACACCCTGGTTTGTAAACAATCCGGAGTCGGTACCCCAAACGTTTACGAACATAGAATTGCTGATCCGGTGTCTGGATTACCTGGTGCAACAGTTCCTTCAAGTGCCGTTGGTCCGTACGAATAAGAAATTCCCTCCCAAGAAGGTACTGGCGCCATTTTTGGACGACTTCGACAATGGCGTAAAGCTCCTTATGATACGTGGATGACGCCCGTCGGCGTGGGCCCAATTTTTTGCTAAAATAAGCAATCGGCTGTTCTTCTTGGAGGAGGACCGCACCCACACCAACGTCAGAGGCATCGGTATCAACCACGAACATAAGGGAAAAATCAGGCAGCCACATCGGACCAACAGAATGAATCTTTCTTGAGGAGATCCGTCAATGGGGCTGCCAGTTGTGCATAGTGCCGGATAAATCGGCGATAATATCCTGTCAAGCCCAAAAACCCCCTTAACTGTTTGATAGTGGTGGGCTGAGGCCACGCTGCCATTGCCTCAATCTTTGCGCCGTCCGCTTGGAGGTGCCCGTCACCAATAATATGGCCCAAATACTCGATGGAAGTGGCGCCGAAAGAACATTTGGACAGTTTGGCGAAGAACTTGTGTGAGAATAATAGCTCAAGAACAGCTTCAAGATGACGGCTATGGATGTCCAGAGAGGGACTGTAAACCAATATATCATCAAAAAAGACGATGACAAATTTCCGTAAATAGAGTGCAAATACCCGATTCATGCAAGCTTGAAACGTAGACGGAGCATTTGTCAACCCAAACGGCATTACCCGGAACTCATAGTGACCCTCGTGAGTGCGAAAAGCCGTTTTGTAAATATCCCGCTCGTGCATGCGAATCTGATGATATCCCGAACGAAGATCCAACTTTTTGAAATAGCGGGCAGAGCCAAGTTCATCAAACAGTTCATCGGCCGTTGGGATTGGAAAGTGATCGGGTACGGTGACTGCATTAAGGGCGCGATAATCCACGCAGAAACGGTATGTGCCGTCCTTCTTTTTGACTAATAACACCGGTGAGGAGAACGGGCTCCGACTAGGCTGAATCAGCCCGGCCTCAAGCATCTCTCTGACCATTCGTTCAATCTCATCTTTTTGAAAGTGTGGGTATCTGTAGGGCCGGACATTAACTGGAGACGTTCCCGGTTGTAGAAAAATCCGATGGTCCTGTCCACGCCGGGGTGGCAGATCTGTGGGCATGCCAAAAACAGCCTTGGAACGCTGCAGGATGGTGTGAAGCACGGTAGGCAGGTCCTTCGGCCAAAGCAGTGGTTCGGCCTCCCCTGTGACAGCGGAAACTGGGGTTATTCACGGAGTGGTTCGGCCTCCCCGAGAGCACCAGTGGTAAGGTTGTTCACGGAGGGAAACTCGGAGTGTTCCCAGACTCCTTGTGGTTCGCCGGAAGAACACCACAAGCAGAAATGCTACACCTCCGAATGAGACGCGCGGCTAGGGGAAAGGAAGAACGAGACAAGGGTTTAAGGTTTTTTAGGGTTTTGTTTATTGATCCTCTCTCATGGGATGTATACATCTCTTTATATAAGGAAACCCTAATCCTAATTATCTATGTTTTCTACCCTGACGGTTCAAAAAAAGCGACGAGGTAAAGAACCGTAAAGAAACCCTCGAAGGAGCTTATAATTCGCTCACCTAGAAAAATCTACGTACAAGTAAATAAATAAATAATAATACTAAAGAGGATAATTTAAATGGAGCCCATGTCATACACATGTTGCCAACTCGGCGGACGTCGAACCCGATTACTTCGACGGGTCCCCGAGTCTTGCACGTGGTGAACCTCCCGCTCCGAATCCGTATCACGTAGCCCTGGTTGTTCGACCGACCTCCTCGGTACAAACTCTGTCGCGAACTCCGTCTCATGATCCGTAACAGTCACATAAGTCTATGTGTAATGTTCCAAGCCAACTTGTACGTATCCTACATGGCGTCCGCCACGGTGCCGTGACTACCTATGCTTCGCCTTGACTTGCATGCGCGAGAACGTAGCTCCGTGGGGGCGGGGGCGTGTTCATAGAAAGAAGGCAGGAGAGTACTTTATTACTCCCCGTCCCAAAAAAATGTTTCAAATATACTTTTCTCCCGAGCACTTCTGAATTGAAATCCGACTGCGTTTCTAGAATCACATCGTCAAAACTAAGATAATTGTGTGCTTAAAAAAAATTCTAATGCTGGCTACGAGCCGAGCAATATTATCGGGGACTTACATTACTGTTACTTGTAACATTTTTTTTCTTTTTTTTGAGTAATGTTGATCCTATACTTTTTTTATTTAATGTACTTTTGTTTTTATTATATTTTAATAATATAAAAAGAAGGGAAAGAAATTAAAGAGAAAATAACACGAATGATAAAAGGTTTTAAACACAAAAAAGGCATAATTTAAATACAAAAATAAAAATATTAAAAAATATCAAAAGAACGTAACAAAATTTATTTATTACTCCGTATTATTTTATAAAATATACTCCCTCCGTCTTTTAAACTCTTTCTCCTTTCTTATTTTCTTGTTCCACAAATTCTTCCCCTTTTCTATTAAAGAACTACTTTACACTTAATAATTTTTACCATACCTATCACATCATACCTTAATTTTTACTAATAATCTATCCATCAAATTCTATTTTTACCATCACATCTGAGGTATTTGTAAAAATTCAACACAAAATATCTCTTTTTTAAATTCTCAAAAAGTCAATAAGAAAGAACTTTAAGGGACGGAGGGAGTAGACTTAAATTTAAGTGGAAATGAGTAAATATGTCAAGAAAGTGTAATCATTATAGTTATGTTTAAAATTATTTCTGATATAATTTGATCTATTTCGAAAAAGAATAGGTAATACTTCATAAATAATAAGGACAAGTTGAATAAGGATAAGTTAGAAGAAAATAAATTCTACTCCCTCCGTTCCACAAAACTCTTCCTTTTTGGTTTTGTTTTGCTTTCCACAAAACACTTCCACTTTCTAATAAAAAACCACTTTTACCCCTACTTTTTCATATCCTACCTATCACATCATACTTTTTCACTAATAACCAAACTATCACATCTTACTTTTTCCCATCACATCAGGAACAAAATTGGAAAATCAACCAAAATTACACTTTCCTTATTTTTTTCCCAAAGTCAAACCAAAGTCAACCAATATTAGTCCTGCTAATATTCCGCAGTAAAATAAATACTGAAGGAGTGCATTAGCCATTAATAAACCAATTCAAACGTGGCCAACTCAAAAGGAAGTTTTCAACTTTTAATTATTTTTTTGGGCACTGTAGTTAATACGGAGTAATAATAATAATAATAATGCTGATCCGACAATTTTCCGTGGTTTTGACTCGAAAGTCTTTAATTTCCAGCTTTACATTGAATATATAAATTCAAACCAAACCCTCAAACCACTCTCCAAATTAAACAAACCAACCCAATCCAATCAGAGGAAATAAAACGTAGCTTCTTCCCCTAATTACTTCTCCTTTGAACTAATCTTGCATCCATCCATTAATGGAAGATGTCCAAGTCCCTCCATATTTTCTTTGCCCCATCTCTCTCGAGATCATGAAAGACCCGGTGACGATCTCCACCGGCATCACCTACGACCGGCAAAGCATCGAGAGATGGATGCTTTCCACCAAGAAAACCACCACATGTCCGGTCACACAACAACCCCTCCCCCACGACGACCTGGTCATCATCCCCAACGTCACCCTCGGGCGGCTCATACGGTCGTGGTGCGCAATCAACGCCCCTCGGGGCGTCGAGCGGGTCCCCACTCCGAAGCCGCCCGCGAGTGCGTCCCAGATCTCGAGGCTCCTTCGGGAAGCCTCGTCGACGCGGGAAATGCAAGCCAAATGTGTTCAAGACCTGAGGCGCATGGCCTCACAGTGCGAGACGAATAAGCGTCTCATGGAGAGCGCCGGCGGGCCGGAATTCTTGGCGGCGGTCGTGAAATCGAACGCCCGGGACGGGACCTCATCAGATGATCCTGCGTGTCACGCCCTTTGCTTGCTAAAAGAACTACGGTTATCCGAGGCGGGACTAAAGTCGATCCTAGGGCGTGACACGCAGTTCGTCGACGCTTTAATCCGCGCCATGCAACGTGGGAGCTACGAATCCCGAGCCAACGCCGTTAAGCTTCTAGAATCAATGCTAGAATTTGCGGATCCGTTGCAAATCACGAGCTTAAACCTCTCGTTTTTCCGCGAATTAGTACTCGTTCTGAGGGAGGACTCTTCCTCGAAATCGGCACTGCGCGTACTCGCGAGCGTTTGCCGCAAAGGGAGAAATAGAATCAAGGCGGCCGAGGCTGGAGCCGTGGCCGCGTTGATCGACCTACTCCTCGACTCGACCGAGAAACGAAGTTGCGAGTCGGCTCTAGTTGTACTTGACCAGCTCTGCCAGTGCCCCGAAGGACGGGCAGAGCTGCTCAAGCACGCGGCCGGGTTGGCTGTCGTGTCGAAGAAAATCTTGAGGGTTTCGGAGGCGGCGACGGAGAGAGGCGTGAGGATCTTGCATTCCGTCTCCAGGTTTTCGGCTAGTCGGAGTGTTGCACAAGAGATGTTGCAAATGGGAGTGGGGGCAAAGCTGTGTATGGTTATTCAAGTAGAATGTGGGAGCAAGACTAGGGAGAGAGCTGCTGAGATCCTCAAGTTGCATGCTAAGGATTGGAAGAATTCTCATCAATGTATACCTTTGTTGAGTTTAATTTACCCTACCCATGGGAGTTAGATATAAACACACTTCATTAATGACCACTTTTTTGTTACTCTCATAAAATTTCTTACTCACTCCGTTCTATTTTATAACGCATGTTTTGGTTTACGATGTTTGACTGAAATTATTTTCAAATCATTTTATATGACAAATGGTATATAGTTAAAAAATAAAAATTACATATTAAAATACTACATCAAAAGATCTACAAAACTAGTAGTGACACTAGTACTTTATTTTATCAAATTGCTAACGAAAATTGAGAAAGAAAGTGAATGAAGTTTGACCCTGTGAATAGTGAACACGCGTTATAATTTGGGACGGTGGGAGTATCATTTTATTTTGGAAAATTTATCTCAAATAATCTCATATTTTTGTGTTTTTTCAAAAATAATCCCACTTTTTCACCGTCACCAAAAATAATCCCACCTTTCAGCATGAATGCGAGTTTTGGGTCACCGTTAAAAAACTAACAGCCACTTAACAAAATTTTTAGAAAATGTCGATTTTTGCAAAAAATGAAAGGTGCAATTATTTTAGACAAATTTACTTTTTACATTTTTAATTTTAATTTAAAATTGATATTTTTAAAAATATAATAGTACACTCTTGTTAGAGATTTGTCTAACGATTTACAAATTTTGTTTTCAATTCTGGGAAAATATAATATTGAATTATCAAAAATAATTTAGATATCGATCAAGAAAAAAATTGCAATACAAAAAAAAATTGTAGTGAGTTATAAGATTTATTAGTTCCGTTTCAGAGAAAAAAATAATGTGCCATTTTCAATGTTTTGAATTACTAGTTTGGGGAAAAATGTGGACTGAATTATAAAAAAAAATCACAAATTAAATTAGGTAGTTCCATTTTACAAAAACATAATATAGGCAATTGAAGATTATCAATAAATATTTTGGAGTGTTGTTCGTGAAAAAATTGTAATACAACAGAAAGTGTAGTGAGTTATAAAAATAAAACTTCCATTTCAAAGAAAAAATTGTTGTTTTATTTTTATAATTATTGTAATGTTGTTTCGAAAAATATATTTATATAGAATTATCAAAAGATATTCACAAGTTTTGTAGTGCCATTTTTTAAGAAATAATAATAATATAGTATTAAAAAATAATTCGAAGTGTCGCTCAAGAAAAACATTTACAACTTACAAAAAATGTAGTGAGTTATGAAGTATATAAATTAGCTCTATTGTGTTGAATAACTTATTTTTTAATCATTACCAGATTATTGATTGTTGAAAAAAACAATTAGTTTCATTAGTCTAAAAACACTTAAATTTGGTATTATTTTTCCAAAAAAAATAAAAATACATTTAAACTTAAAGTTAGAAATTTAATAAAATGAAAAAAGAGAGAATTTACCTAAAATAATTCCACCATTCATTTATTTTCAAAAAACAGACATTTTTCAAAAATTTCATTAAGGGGCCATTAGTTTTTTAACATCGATCCAAAACTCGCATACATGCGGAAATGTGAGATTATTTCTGGTAACAGTAAAAAGTGAGATTATTTTTTAAAGAGCACGAAAAGGTGAGATTATTTGAGATAATTTTTCCTTTTATTTTTTAATATCTAATTTTACATTTTGACTAATAATGTGAGAAAGAAATTAATGGACGGAGGGCGTATATACTTTCATTTTTGAATAAAATGACTAATATATCCAAATAAAATCATTACAATAATTGAGTGGAAGAGAAAAGAATATTGAAAGAAAAAAAATGAGATTGACAAAATATACTAAGAAGAGAAAAACCAAGTGTTAGACAATGCGTGCAACTCTAGAGGGGGGGGGTGAATAGAGTTGTTGAGAGTGATTGTCGATTTTCGCAGGATTAATAATATAGTCGTAAGTGCAGCGGAAAATTTTCTCTCTTCCGTTTCTTGTGTGGCTACATATGACCAAGTGGTGGAGCACCGATCAGGTCAAGGGGCTCTCTGAGAGAGCTTCGATGGTGATGAAGGCAATTCGAATGCCCACGAATTGTTTGGCAAATGTTGAGCTCTTGAACTTAGGGTGTTCGGAGCTGTGTTGGCGAGCATCTAATGCCCTCTACAAGACTTAAGTCACATAAGTCTTGAACAACAAGAAGAAAAATCTTCTTCAACCTCTCAACAATAGCTCTCAAAAGAGTAGAAGTGAGAAATGATTAAAGCTCTATGGATGACAAGAACACTCTCTTGAAAACACTTAGTTTTCTCTCAAAATATATCAATTTGAGGAAGAAATGAATGAAGGATTATAATTTCAAGATTGGGGGAGTTTAGGAGTGCTTGTACATGGTAAAAATGACCAAGGAGTGAGGTTTATAAAGGGGTTGAAGGAATATATCCGTTGGTCCAAGAAAAGAAGCTGTGATGAAAAATGCAGCACATTAATCGATTAATGCATCACCATAATCGATTAATGCATCATAAAAAATCGATTAAAGCATCTTCAAAAATCGATTAATGGAGTCTGCGAGAAAAAGGATAATCGATTAAAGGAAGATAAAAAATCGATTAGTCAGCTCTGCCAGCCTTAATCGATTAACAGAGGAGCAAAAATCGATTAATGTTCCAGCCCAGGGTAATCCAACGATAAGCAGTTAATCGATTAATTTTGAAAGATTGATCGATTAATAAGGAAATAATGCGCAAACACAAAGGGCCCAAGGCCAGTTGCGATTAAGAGCGAATTGGCTCAAACTCGTTGTTTGAAACAAGAAGAATCAGGGAGCGCTCCTCCTCTCTTATTCAATGAACTTGAATAAGGGAGTAAAAGTGAGTCCAAAAATTATTTTGTGTGTCAAATGATGTACACGAAAAATATTTGAATAAAATATTTTTGCTTACCAAAAATATTTTATAATATCGAAATAAATATTTGATAAATGTTTGACACACGTTTTGTAACTGACTCAATAAAACTATTTTGAACAATTAAAAAGATTTTCAACTGACTCCAAAAATAAATATAATTTTTATTTTGACTCTCATAAAAATAATTTTGGAGAGAAGATATTTTTGTCATCCTTACAATAATTCCTAAGACTCAAATAAATAAAAAGTCTTCGGAAATCTTCTACTCCTCCGAGTCCTCCGTTAGGCGCTCCGAACGCGTCTCAGACTTCAACAAAATCCTGTGCACCTTCTTGAATACTTCAAGGAATGGCATTTCAAGTCTTCGTGATTGTCGTTGTAGCACTTTAATCTTGACTTGAATAAGTTGTGTTTGTCAATTATCAAAACCTGTGAGTCAACACTAAACAACACAGAAAGGGTTGCACTTATGCATTCCAACACCAAGTTCTTTATAGTGATAAAAATTGAATTAGCTACAATATACATATACCAATATTTATAAATTTGTGGTAATTAGAAATTTGACACAAGATATTGGACTTACTGTGGTGATTTTTTTGAAAGGACTACTAGTCATTAATTCATAAGATTAAGTTGGAGAACATCACAAGTACATGTTGAAGGGATAGACACCCCATCAAAAAAACAGTCAGAAAATCAGACGGCTTACCTTACAAATGAGCAACTTGATTCACTAATTTTCTAACTATTGACCACAAGAGATAATTTTTCTTTGACTTAAGCAGCAAACAATCATAAATAACTGCGATAATATATGAGAAATCTTGCGGACCACCTTGCAATGCGTTAAAGACTGTCTCATTATCTATTTCTTTCAAGATCCTCTGATGTGGATAAATCTCCTTTAGCCATTTTAGTCTAGCTCTCTTGGATGACATAGCTTCCGCCATCATTGTTTTTCCTAGGGGTGAGCATGTTCTGAACCAATCTCGAGATTTCCCGAAAAAACTGAGATTACCGAATCAAAAAACATCGAACCGATAAAATACCAAAAAAGAACCGTACTGTACCGAACCAAATGGTCGGTACGGTACTTGGGTTCGGTACGAGGTAATTTCCATACCGAAAAATTTCAAACCGAACATATATATGAATATATTTTAAAAATAATTACTACCTCCGTCCCACTCTTTTTGTCCAGTTTTGACTTTTGGAACTGTTCATCTAAGCACTTTGACTCATCAAATTCTCTCAATGTGTAAGTCTAAAAATAGTCATGTGTGATCTTGTTTGATTTGTCTTAACATGTAGATTATTAATATATAATTTTTATAATTTTTTAATACACAAATTACAAGATAAAATGGATTAAAGAAGTGCATTGGATGATGTGCAAAAATGAAAGTGGACAAAAAGAGTGGGACGGAGGGAGTATATTTTTACATTTCTTCATTAGATATTATATTGATTTTGAAAATTTGGTTCAAGTGTAAATGAATTATCAACTAATCTTTTATTTAAATAATCATTTATTTGATTTTTTATTTTTTGTAGATGAATATATAAAAATTAACAAACATTTAAAATATTTTTTATTATCATTCGTTCTCTTTTGTTTTTGAAATACAAAGTATAAATTAAACTAAGTTTTATAAGTATTTCTTACATTTTATTATTTATTTTTCAATTTTTATCTTTATTTGAGATATACTTTCAATTTTTTTAAATAAAGAGTTTTATAGATTTCATAGTGTAAACTATATATATATATATATATATATATATATATATATATATGTATGTATGTATGTATGTATGTATGTATGTATGTATGTATGTATGTATGTATGTATATCAAATACCTCCCTTTCAAAAAAATCACCACAGTAAGTCCATACCCTCTATACCAATAAATCAAATACCTTGTCATACCGTAGAACACTTACCCCAGTATTTTCCTTTCCTCCAAAGGCCTTACGTACAGTTTTTTATTAAACGATAAGTCTAAAATGACATCAGTGCTACTGATGTCATTTGCTTACAGCAGTTCGTTTGAGGTATTTATAGTGCTCCGTTTGTAAAAATGACGCTTCCTACCCCCCTCTCGCCCCCTCCCTAACCTGCCTTCGATTGTGACCTCCATTCCTCCTTCTCCCCCCACCCCCGTTTTTTCTTTTACCTTTAGTTTTGTTTTCTTCTTCTTCTTCTACTTCTTCCGTTCCTTTAAACTCTTCCACTTTTGACTTTGGGTAAAAATAAGGAAAGTGTAATTTTGGTTGACTTTCCAATTTTGCCCCTGATGTGATGGGTAAAAGTAAGATGTGATAGTTTGATTATTAGAGAAAAAGTATGCTGTGATAGGTAGGGTATGAAAAAGTAAGGGTAAAAGTGGTTTTTTAATAGAAAGTGGAAGTGTTTTAGGGAATTAAAAAAAACGAAAGAAGAAGGGTTTTGTGGAACGGAGGG